TAGTAGTAGTAGTAGGTAGTAGTGGTGGAAGTAGTGGTAGTAGTTGTAGTAGTAGCAGTAGCAGTGGCAGTGTCAGTGGTAGTGGTAGTGGTAGTGGTAGTGGTAGTAATGGTAGTAGTGGTAGCAATAGTATCACCAGCAGGAGGAGCAGCAGTCGCTGCAGCAGTTAGCCACCGGCTACCGACCTCGACCACTTCACTTGTGATAGTTTCTGCTTTCCAAGGAGCTCTCGTGTTTAGGTAATCGATGGCACGCTCTCGATTAATCCTTGGCGTCTATGCAGACGACGATGACCCACTGCCGTGATCGCGAGTGCTGTGACTACAGGGGCCAACATGTTCCAGAGTAGTCCGAAAAAGCCACAGGCAACGCCACTGCACGCAATCCTATTCCTAGTTCAGCTCCTGTTGGGCACGAGTGCAAGGCTGGAATAAGCTACTGCCTGCAACTCTCACAAGTACTTGCCAATCGTCATCCTGTGAGCGCAAGGCCTCCGAATAAGCTCACAACAGGTAAGCTAAGGAGGACCCGACTAAGCAGAGCCGAAAAGAAGTACAGAGCCTCTCCTCCACAAATGTGATGCTCAAGTCGCTTGAAGGTCTTTTCGGTGAGGGGAATATTGACACTGCCTGAGAACGCCACTCTTGTGCTCGAAAACATGTAACCGCGCACGACTCGACCGCTCATCTTCGTCATCTTGGGGCATGTGTCGACTTTGGTCCAGTGTTTGGGGTTCCCGACTGAACTGGGGGTGTTGATGCTTGCTGGGTTCGTCTGAGCACAGGCTGTGCCATCGAGGTGCCCCACCAAATGTCCTCGGAGGTTGAGGGCCTGGGCAGCGGAGAGTTGGGCTTAAGGTTTTGGGATAGGTTTAGGATTTACGCTCTTTCATTCTCAGGCATGTCTGTCTACATGCATGTACACAAGCCGGTTTGCACTGCCATGTTGACTGCTCAGCTTACTCCACTTAAAGACATAGCCATCGCTGTCTGCAGTTGTATGTCTTACACATACAGGAAGAAAGACCTACATACTTGCCTTCACTTGCACATTTCCGACCTGAACACAGAGGTAGCTCAATTAAGCGAAACGTATCTTCTAGGGGATCCCAAAACGGGAACCCGATGCAGAGAAGCTGGGTTCTTGTTAAGGAACATAATTTCATTTTGAAGCGAAAAGCCGAACCTGGGCCCTAAAGCCCTGAAGCGAACACTCTAAACCCTAAACCCTAAACCCTAAACCCTAAACCCCAACCCAGGAGCCCTTCACCCAAAACCCTAAACCCTAAACGCCCTGTAATCCCAGAGTCCCACCACGCACGTCTGGGGCTCCCGTCTCCTCAACCACACGCTTGTCGAGAGGGGAGCGGCCGGTCTTGGCACCTGCCAGAACAGGCGGATGCGCAAACATACCTAAACATATAGTACAGATGTACATACTTACATGTGCACATATATACATGTTTACATATATATATATATATATATACACATGTCTATATACATATATTTACATGAACATGCGTGAACATATGTTTATATACATATACGTATATGCACAGGTACAAGTATACATAGCATACATATACACATATACATATAAACGTACATACACACGCACACATACACACACATACATAATGTTACATAATCATACATGCATACATACATACATACATACATACATACATACATACATATAGCAGGCGCTTGTGTAGAAACAAGAAACCTTAAACCCTAAATCCCTAAATCGCTCCCATGCAAACCCCTGAAACCGAAAATCCTCATGGTACCCTTAAAATCTCATCCGACCTACCGTAACCTAAAACCCCCGAACCCTTAAACCCTAAAGCCCTAAATAAATCCTAAACCCTTAAACCCTAAACCCCAAAACCCTAAAACCCGAAACCCTAAACCCTAAACCCTAACCCCAAAATCCTAGACCCGAAACCCTCATTTAGAGAACTCCCCCCTTTCTGGGACCTGAGAAGGCCGCCAACGCCCCGGTGGAGAGGATGGCGGAGCCTTTCTCGTAGCGCAGGGCCTGGCGTTAACGGGTTTCTGGGGGGCTGCAAGGGTTGAAAGGGTTAAGGATTTTGGGCTTAAGGTTGAGGGTTGGAAGGGCTTAGGGTTGAGGGTTTAGGTTTAAGGGTTGAGAAGTTCAGGGTTGAGGGTTCACGGTTTAGGGTTTAAGGATCTGGGTTGAGAGTTAGTCCTGCAAACCTGCAGTCGAAGCCCCATTGCTCCCTCTCGGACGAAGGAAATATGTTCAGCAACTGGGATCACTCTGAAACTTCTTTCTCTAGCTAGTTGTGAAGGGGCCAGATACATCCGAGACAGCACCAGCGCCCCTTATTCATTGAGACCCACATTTCTGAAATCTTCAAAAGGCCGCACGGGCTCACGGAAAGCCTCGTCGTACAGGGTGCCCGGGCTTGCGTTGTGCTGCACCCACTCAGTATGTATGCCCATGTCGTGCAACATCTTCATGTCCTTAGCGTGTGGCAGCAGCTCGAGGAGGGTTAAGAGACCGAAACTCCAGATACGTGGGAAGCTCGCATTGTGTGTTCACACGCCAGGCGGAAAAGCAAGAACCAGAACTTCCAGCAGGGTGATGGGCTGGCTGAGGAACCACACCAGCAATGCAATATGACTCCGGGCGTCTGCGTCTTCGAAGATGTGGTGGTCATGGGGCAGCTGTTGTGCGGCGCTTCCCCTCGGATTCGAGCAGCTTGAGACGAGCACCGAGATCCAACTAGAAAAAAGAGAAAACCCCAGACCCGAGAGTCACATTCTTGTGCGTCCTTGTTTCGTGATCTTAACCACCAGGACCGTCAGTCTCATCGCCATCCCCTTCATCAGCATCATGAGCATCATCATGTGTCGTCAAAATCGCCACCATGCCATCCACATCCGTCTGCCCATCCTCGTCTTGGCCGCTTCCTCCTCCTCCTCCACAACCACCACCGCCATCATTACCAGCTGCTGATGAGATGATGATGATGATCATCATGATGACGACGACGAGGATGATGATGGTGATGATGACGACGACGACGAGGATGACGATAATGATGATGGTGATGATAATGATAACGGTGGTGATGGTGCTGGTAGTGATGACGGACCATGATGAGCCATGACAAGCAAAAGATCAAGACCAGAACAATGATGGCACTGATGGCGATGAGGATGATGATGGTGATGATGATGCTGATGATGACGACGACAACGATGACGATGACGCTGATCATAATGAGGATGATGACAATAACGATCAGAAGGAGGATGGTGATGATGACGGTGATGATGGGGGTGTGATCGTGATCGTGATGGCGATGGTGAGGGTGGCGGCGGGTGGTGGCGATCATGGTAGCAGTGGGTATAACCGTAACCTCGGTTTTTGTCGACAGCGGTCGTGCATGACTACTTCCATGATACAGACATGAACAAGAACATGTGGCACCACTTCCAACTTCCTCCATTCATGGAGCTCAGACCTACTTTTGTAGATGGTCGTTGCTGAACTTTGAGACTTGTGCCGAAATAGATCCTCTGCATGGAACTTGAGTCGACCCAAAACGACTGACCAAGGATGAGGACCGTGATAACTGCCGTCGCCACAGAAAGCACCCGACACCACATCGTGAGCTCCTGGCGGACTCGCCTTGAGCGCATCGGCGATACTCTGCCTCGCCTGGCTTAAGCTTTAGGGTTTGGGATGTAGCTTCGGGTCGAAGGGTCGTCACGCAGGAAGCTTAGCGTGCAAAAAAGCAGCGAAGGACGGCAGATATGAGACCACTAATTCAGGATTTCGGAATGTTCAGATACAGGAAGTTGGACAACGCTACGAAGCGCGGATCCTAGTTTCAGTCTGCTGTGACCACATGGGCACCTGTAAGGATCGGAACTTTGCAAGTCGCGAGCATGCCGCGTAACCCATCTGGGACGAAAACGGAGTCGGAACGTGCCAGTGCTGCCGGCCAGTCCTATGTGGCCATTCAAGTGACAACTAATGGTAGCAGTAGCCGTAATCGAGATGGGACTGACCAGAAAGACCGAAGACTTTATGCTACTACCGGGCCTGAGCTGCTGTGTCCGGCTCTGCAGCTTCGGAGACGGAACCAGGATGAGTCGAAGCTACGGCTCCAAGGCTGAAGTTGGAGGGTCTCCGGGGTCCCCTAAACCCTAAACCCCAAACCCTAAACCCTAAACCCCAAACCCTAAACTTTCCTAAACTACAGGGTCCTTTTCGGAAATCAAAGCTACATGAAACCTCGAACGAATCGGGGCTCAAGGGATGGAGCTGAGAAGTGCAGGTGGCATGCACCCAAGAGCGCCTTTGCTTGGTCGAGGCTTCTGCGGCCTCAGAGTGCAAGGGTTCTGGAGGCGAGACACAAAACCAGCTATGTGAAGACTCTTCCCGATATCAAAACATCTCATCTGACTGCTTTGCTTCTTCTTGCTGACTCGAACAGCATTAGCGGCATGATTGAGCTCAGTATCCTGCTCCATCACAACCAACAACAGCATCAGCACCATCATCGTCACCGTGATCATCATCTTCGGAGCTGCCATCATCATCACCGCCAGAAGTCACTAGCACCGTTGTGCGAAGCATCCTCAACGACACCACCAACGGTAGCCTATTCTTGACATAACCTTCCTCCTCTCCTCGTGTTCTTTGGCATGCTTAGCACCATCGTCAGTATCATAGTCTTCATGTCAACTGCAACTGTCGGTGTGAGCATGTAACATGGCCACAGTTGCAGTCATACTCATGATTCATACTCAAAGTGACCATGCCTCTGACTGTAGCGCTCTCTTGACGTGGTTGCAATCATCGGACAAGGAGGAACTCACGTCGTGCGCTGGCCACTGATACACACACAACGTTGCCGGCTTCTTTTCGCTGCAACTCCTGACGCTGTTGATGCATTTGCTCGGTGTCGTGGGGCCATGGAGTGCCCTGAAGCTCCTCATTCTTTCTTCTTTCGTAGCTCAGTTGTCGTTGTTCTTACCCTGTCCTTTCCATCGCCGTTCGAAACCCAACGGCAAAATTCATGTTCATGCCAATGCTCAGGTTGGTGCTCACACTTCTGCTAGCCGTTCTCGTGCACATCCTGCTGATCATTCCAACTTTCGTCCCGCTCCTCAAGCTTATTCAGGTACGAAGTTTGACCATCCACCTGCAGCATTGTGCATATCTACCGCATGTGAGACTGTCGTGTTCATTCATGTTCAGGTCGTCGTCTTGTGTTCCTTGTCAACTGCTCTCATTCCCATGCTCATCGGAACTGTGCCGAGCTCAGCGCCCCAGGACCTATTGTCGAGATCTGCGGATCACAAGATCATCTAGGATTCGGTGAATCTTGAAGGGTACCACGTCTTCCACCTGCAGTTTCAGGGTTTATGAGGAGAAAGGTTTGTGTTTCAACATACGAACGGTTTACTCAAAACCCTGATTAGCAACTTTTCCTTCAAAGCCTTAAAGCCTGGATCCCTCTTCTGATCCTTCTTCCGAGAGCGGGTTCTTCATGAATCCGCATGTAAAGCCCTTCAAAGAAAATACACTACAGCAACCCGATGACAACCTCAAGAAACCATGAGTTCTCTAAATTCTATGTCTGCCCAGGGGCTTCCATGCAGACACCGGAGGCCGACACGGGAGCCTCGCAGCAGAGGCCTCCCGAAAAGCAAGGAATAGAGGTTTAGGGTTTAGGGTTTAGGGTTTAGGAGGTTGAAGGCTTAGGACACCGGTTGGATCCAATGAAGTTATGTACGATGCGGATATTCGGCACATCACCCGCCTCAGCAATGACGTGCGAGATGCCATGCTGCGACGAATGGCCGGTCAAACTACGAACCCAGATGATGAGCCGATATCTTGCTCGCTTCATGCCGCACGACAAACCCCAAAGCGAATTGGCCATGCAGCTCCCCCAGACAGCGGAGGTGGCAACCCAAAAGCCACATCAGCTCGCTCTTGAAGGTCCCATGGGCGCCGACATGGTTGCGTCTGTGGCCCAGCATCTCACAGGCGTGTGCCCAGTGCTTGAGAATTTTGACCTGCACCTTCTTCTGGTGCCGACGTGCATCGAAACATGTGCACCCATGACATGGACGAAGTATCTGAGGGAGGCTTCGATGCACAGAGTATCATACCTCAGATCTTCACCTTTTTGAGCCTCCCCGTCTGGGTTGATTTCACAGGCTCTGCTCACGTCACCCCCCGAAAGCCTCGTTGCAGCGCTGCAGCCGTCCGCCAGCATTTTGACGGTATCCCTGAGTTGCGCCTACTTTTGGAGGAAAATAAAACCTCACTGTCAATGAACATAGGGAATCGGCGCGATTTTTCATGACGCCGTTCGCGCCACCAGCACAGGATGAAATCGAGTGGGACCGTCCCGATGCCCTCCACTGGCCGACGAGGCCCTCCGAAACGCGACCCCTCCTACTAAGAACTCCTTCGAGGCGCCGGGTCCACCAGGACCTCCTCGCGTCACAGCTGCTTCGACTCCTCGCAAGCCCTTCCGACGCCAGGTGGCCCTGCCTAGGGCCCGACCCCCGCAAGATGTCGATGGCGCTCCGCACAGCCCCGAGCACTGCATGCACGCAGCAATCCCGACACTCCTTCTCGACATGAAGAATCAGCTGAGTCGCAACTTGAGCACACCGCCCAAATACATGAATAGCTGTCACGAGTACGGCGTTTCAACCTCGCCTGGTTGAAAGTTTGAACGCAACGAAGGGAAAGCTAAAATTTGGGGAGTTTGAAAGCTCGCAAAGCTTGGAGAAAGAAAGGCTTGGAGAAGATCTTTTTGCGCCGCTGCTCAGCGTACGATGGCCCGGACCTCCTCGATGTACTGGAAGGCGCGTGTTGCGACCTCCCCCAAGAGCAGCGGCGCTATAGTTCAGACGGCATGTTTAGCAGTGACTCAGCCAGTGCCGCGGCCTCCAGATTGTCGGGATTCTTGTCCGGGTGCCATCGCAGCTGCAAGGACCTGTAACACCGGACAAAATTCTGCAGCCAAGCCCAGACGGCAAGACTTTCCATCCCAGAGCGGCCTCAGGGCCCGTTTTTGGCCCTCGAGGTCCTGCGATAAGACCAAGCGGACGTGCGTGCAACATGGGATGTGCAGTGGCCACCGCTCTGACTAAGGGCGTCTAGTCTGATCATGTCTTTCTGATCATGTCTTCTCTCTGTGCAACACCACTTGTGCACAGACCTTAGTAGAATGCCAATGAAAGAACAAAGTAGCTGGAATATCATACTGGCAAAGATCGGCATTAAGTGTTGCTTTCTTGAAGAAGAATCAGCGGACCAGTGGAAGTGTTGCTTTGTTGCGGGTCTGTTCTAGTCTCTGAGAGAGAGCATCACAGCGTCGTCACGCCAGCAGCATGGGATTTCTACATAGCGCGGCCGGGATCAATCCCAATATCATGGTCTCAGACCTTGTGGGACAATGCCATCATGCTCCCGTGCCACACGTGCAGCCCTCTCCGTCTGTACTGCACGTGTAAAGGTTGGAATTAGACATTATCGGAGAGTCTTGGTATGATAAAAATGCGCAGACTCAAGAAACAATCGCAACAGCTTGCGCCAGACTGTCGTCCTTTGCACACCATCAATAATCTCTGAATAAATCTTCGCTCGGCGGAAGCTGGCCTGCGCCGCGAGCAGCATCCCGCGGATGCTGCCTTTGGCGCAGCCCA